GGATCTACATGTTTGGTTTATTCCATTTTCATATGAAAATGCTAGCTAGTTGATTATGAGTTGTGTGAGAATGTTTATTTATGAAGTGTTGTATGTTTTAAAGAGTTTAATTATTCTATATTTATGGCATTACGACCTGGTGTTTTTGGGGAATTAAATTTGAGTTTTGCTCGAGGACGAGCAAAAGCTAAGTGTGAGGGAATTTGATAGGAATGCAAAATGCATATTTTTTTCCTCCTTATTTTATGTGCTCGTATGATCAATTAGTGCCAAAATGTACTCATTACGTTCATATTTTTATTTAGGTGGCAATTTAATGAAGATGACGTAATTTGGAAGAAATAGGTGAAAAGGGACCAAAGTGAAAGTAAATGAAAGTTCAAAGACTAACGTAGAAATATACAAAAGTTGTGTCGAACCCAACGATGAAGATTTGAGAGTGTTAGAAGTCAATTGAATGAAGAAAAAAGTCAAAGGAAAGAAATATCGTCAAAGTAGGATCACACATCAATTTCCAATCGAAAAGTTATGCATCGAATTTTCAGTCTCAATTTGAGACCCATTTTTGACATGGAAAACGATCGAATTAGAAGACTATATCTGAAACAAAGTTATATCCCTTTAAGTTAGCTTTTCAACGTATGAATCGCCTCAATCGGATATCGGGAGAGAAAGATATGACCAAAATACTGAAGGTCGCTCAGTTACGTTGGTCGGGCGCCCGCCCGACCATAGACTTCATTAACAGAAGCCAACATTTTGGCCTGGGCGGCCACCCCGTTTTCTATCGGGCGCCCGCCTAGGCCAAATCGGGGAAAACTTTCTGGTTTCCTAATTTAAGTCAACCACCTATGGAAACAACTATAAATACATATTTTAAAACCCTAGAACACACGAAAAACACACCAGAATGCCTCCAACCTATTTTCTCTCTATTTTTCTTAGATATATCATGTGTAACTAACTCTTGGTGTTTGATTGAAGGATACAGAAGCCTTGGAAACCATTATAACTGTAAGATCCACCTATTTTTATTGTTTAATTTATATTTTCAGTATTGAATATTCTTCTATGCATAATTTTATGATTGCCATGTTTGATTGGGAAGAGATCTATTAGTTTTTCATATATTGCAATCTATAGCTAAGTTAAATTTCAAATCCGTAATCGTTTGAATCATTTAACTTGTGAAGCACTAAGATTTGATAATTTTCTGCGATAGATGTTATTGAATTTTAAGAAGAATGTTTAAATAGATTGAATGCAACTGCTGGTGTTCGTATTATCTAGTTCATCGATTTTTCTATTGTTTAAAACTGTTATTAAATTCAATCTTTAGCGCTGGTCTGAGATTATTTGATAATTAGAACCCTGGTTTATGATTAACTAAAATTAAGGAGAAATAGGAATGTATTCCAACGATGAATATTGTGTGGATTGATTATTCTTTGTGGATTGATGAATGGTTATAAATCTCCAATTGTGGAAGTTGATTTTGATCAAGACTTGTTTCATTGATTTAATACAACTCGTTAATTTACGTTGTTATTTGTTATAAGACTGATTTCGTTATAAACAAAACCCCCCCAATTGTTATACGAAACATAAATTGTTGAATTGCACACTATTCGTGAGATCGACCCTTACTTCCATTACTACTTTAGTTTTAGAGGTTTGAGGACTATTTTTGGGTGCCTACGACATCACACCAAGATTTCACATGGATAACTATCTGAGTGTCACTGGTTAATCTCTAATGTTCAGCAATAGAATTGGTCCTTTAATTTGAGGTCATCATAGTGTCTTATATGAGGACGGTCATGATTTGACGATGTTGGATGTTGCTCTGTCAAGAGTTGTTAATACGACATTATTCGGGTATGTCAAGAATCATATGAAGGTTGTGAATTATCAATAGAGGTTTCGTCACTCTTAGATAGTAAGAGATTATGAGCAACATTTCATTAAGTTAAGTTGATAACGAAATCTTTGGCTAAGGTGTACTCATAAATCGAAAAGAGTTTTCGACTTATATTGACTTAATAGTAGTATGAAAGATGTGATCGGTAATCGAGATTGACACACTTTATATCTCCTAATTTATCAGAACATATTGATGAAGTAATTATAGTTTCACAACAAACGAACAAGTTCGTTTTTGTCGACGATAAATGTGAATGAATTAATCTAGGTGAATTAATGATAAATTAAAAAGATAATTAAATTTATATTATTTTGATTATTTTGATTGAATCAAAATAATAATTCACGTCGTTAGGAATCGTGATCGGGACTTAATGGGTCACACACAAAAGGAGAATTAGAAGAATGAAATATACTGATTAATTAATTGACAAGTGTTGGACAATTAATTAATTGTATTACTTATTAATGGGACAAATTAATTAATCAGATTAATTAATGGATCATGTTTAATTAATTAGATTTATTAAGCATTGGACTGAGGTTAAGTTTAAGTGTTGGGCCAAGCCCACTTGGACTTCTATTAATAAGCTGTTAGGATTTGAAAAATAATAACACAAAATTCATAATCTTACTAACATTAGAAAGGAGAAACCATAATTCTCTCATTTTTGTTTTCTGTGTGGATTTCTATTGGAGGTTGGACAATTGGACAGTTGTGGATTATAGATTGTGATTGTTCATGTTCAAGATAAGCAAAGGATTTTGAAGAATTCAACAAAAATATATTTCCTATCACAATTTCCTTCTAAGCAGAAAGAAGATTCTTGGTAGGAATTGAAATATTGTTTAAATTCCGCTGTGCATATTAAGTAAATTCCCAACAGGTTTAACAAAAGTGGATTTGAAGTCCAAATTCATTGATCTTGCTTTCAATGTGCTTTCGATGACTATTGTCGAGAAAAGATACAATGGAGAAAATGTATAGGATGTTGAGGAGGCAAGGAGGGTTCGATTTATAATGGGAGAAATGCTTGAATATATTGGGAATACAAATTTGGGTGACATTTTGCCATTTTTACATTGGGTAGATTTCCAGGGATTGGAGAAAAGGTTTGTAAATTTGATGAAAAAGCTTGATAAGTTCATGCAGAAGTTAGTACATGAACAGCGCAAACTTTTCTTGAGTGAGAAATTATGGGAAAGCCATGGCCAGTCTAAGAAGACAGTGATAGATCATTTGCTATCACTGCAACACAAGGAACCAAAATATTACATGAATGAACTCATCGAAGGAATAATTCTGGTAACTTTTCCAATTTGTGTAGCTTTGCTTTTAGAGTCGGCCCTACCCTTGAACCTTTACCTTTTCTAGGTAAATGTCCAGGCTAGTTTTTCAAACATTTGGTTTTACATTCATTTATTTGATGTCTAACTTTGAGGCTAAATTTATATATGGATGGTTAGGTGCTATTGGTAGCAAGGATAAACACAATGTCAATAAGCATGGAATGGGCAATGTCGCTACTCTTGAACCACCCTGAATCCATCAACAAAATAAAAACATAAATAGATGCTAATGTACTAGAGGATCGTTTACACGATGAACAAAAGCTGTCGAAGTTGAAATACTTTCCAAATGTCATCACTGAAACTCCACGTTTATATCCACTAGTTCCATTTTAGATCCCTCATCAAGCTTTTGAAAACTGTATTATTGGTGGTTATGACATATCAAAGGGCATAATGTGTTGGGTTTGTGACCTAAATTCAATTAGTTTTTTTTTGGGGAAAAATATTGTTTCATTTATTCTACGCGTTTTTTAATACTATTTCCATCCTTAAGAATGTTAGGGATTTGATATGTCCCCTATGTATGGTTGACTCTTTTTTACAAGCTTGTTTATTACAAAAGTTAGAATAACTGCGAGAAACACAATTATTGTAATTCTTTCTCAATTATAAAATCTCCAATTCCTCTGCTAAATTAAATAGAGTATTTGTATTCATCTTGTTGTTGTGATCAATACTTCATATTGTGCCGTATATCCTCGTTTCGTCCCCAAAAAGTGGTATAAGAGCCTTAGTTTTTTATTTGTTCGAGGTTCTTATTCTTGATGGAAACCATAAAGTACGAAATTCTACTTTTGGATTGCAGTACTAGATCTCATTATAGCATGTGAAAATGCAAGTTGTACTCACACAAATAGATTTGGATGATGCGATATTGGGATTTGATAAGATGCCCTCAACTTGGTCGACAAAGTATAAACATCAAAAGGATCGGAAGGTACTTTCACAAATTCATCTTCATCTTTCGAATAACACTCAGGACATTTTGAAGGAGAAAACGACAACTAAGTTGTGGTTGAAGTTGGAACAATTGTAAATGACTAAGAGTCTAACCAGCAAATTGCACTTGAAATATTGTTTGTATTCTCATCCCATAACAAAAGGCGGATCGTTGGAAGATCACCTAACCGTTTTTTATGGAGATAGTCATTGATTTGAGACTTTAATGATAAAGTATGATGATGATGAAGATTTGGCTGTAATTTTTTTTTTTGTTCATTGCCCATTTCATTTAGAGACAAGATCTTCTCATTTGAAGACAAAACATTTTTTTGTGTTCATTGCCCGCTTCATTTAGAGACAAGATTTTATATAGTCATGATACTCTCAAAATTAAAATGTGTATGATACTTTGTTTTCAAATGAGAAGATGAAACATTTGGTTGGATCTAATACTAGAGATGGTGAAGGCCTTATTGTTCATGGTTGTTATGGAAGGAACATGTCGAAATCTAATTTTGTTAATCAAGTTTGTATTTATTGCAAGAAAAACCGGTTCATTAAAAAAGGATTGTAACATGTTGCAGAATAAAAGAAATTTGGCTGCAAATCAAAAGGGAAGGCAATCATAAACTACATGAGAAGTCGATGTCGCAAAGAATTACTTGAGTGATGGAGATGTGTTGGCTATTTCTGACGGAAAGTCTAAACTTGACGAGGATTAAAATTTGGATATACTTTGTGCTTTTCATATTTGTCCAAATCGGGATTTGTTTTCAATATACGAAATAGTTACGATAGATGTCATGGTCATGGGAAACAACGCACCTTATAGGTAGCTGGTATTGGTAGAGTCAGACTTAAGCTGTATGACGGAACATTTAGAACACTTGATAACATTCGACGTGTTCTATATTTGAAGAAAAATCTCATCTCGTTGGCTACTGTTGATTCAAAAAGGTACAAGTTCTTTGGTGGGGTGGGGTGGGACAGAAAGAGTCCCAATTATATGTCTTGCAAGGTTGTGCACAATCCGTGAAGAACAATCAGAAAAGGTTTAGTACCGGTGGATGTTCAGTTTGGTACAATACCATTGGAATTTGGTTTGGGGTCCATGTTGAAGAATACAACTCAGTTAAGTTTAAAGGATATGGATAACACCGACTTTGTCACCACCTATGGTGTCATCGTATTCAATTGATAGGGACAGACCCAGGTGAAGATAGGTACAAGGAAACTGATTTTGTTGCGCATACTTTAAGTGTATTTGAAGATGTTGAATCTAGTAAGGGGCCTTCTTAAAAAGCATTTGATGTTGATTCTGTTTCAGGGTGTTTCAACCATGTTTGGTAAATTTTAAATCATTTGTGATTTTTGGTTGAACTTGAGATAATTCTATGGAGCAGTGTTTGGATTCATTTATCCTAGTTGGATATCGTGGAAGAGGTCTAGAATTTTTGGTTCGTTGAAGAAGTTAGTTTAGTTCTTGTTGAAGAGTTCGGTTCATTCCTTCCAAATGGATTTTTTTCTCCAAGTGGAGAAGTTTTGGAGCTTTGTTCGTTGCAGTGAAATTTGTGTCAAGGTGGAGATTGTTAGTTTTATGACCCAAATTCGATTGGATTTTTTTTGGGGAAAATATTGTTTCATTTATTTCACGCGTTTTTTATTGAGAAAATATTGTTTCCTTTATTCCATGCGTTTTTATACTATTTTCATCGTTAAGAATGTTGTTAGGGTTTTATATGTCCCATATATATATAGCTGGCTCTTATTTGCAAGATGAAACATTTTGTTGATTATACTTAATTCAAAATCAAGTAGTATAGTTAATTTATATTCTTAATTAATCTTGTATTCTTTGTTGAATTATTTAATTGATTGATCACCAATTAGATAATTAGTTTCTAATTATATTTCATTTATAGATGCTAGGATATATATAATCATGTGCGTTAATGCATTACTTTGCATATGAATTCAGAGTATGAATATGATCAGATTGTGCTTAGAATAAGTTTAACTTATCTCAAGAAAGATAAAATTAGACTATCGATTGTTAATATACACAATTCACACTAAATAATAATAATAATAATAATAATAATAATAATAATAAGTGAATTTGGAATTTCAACACATAATTTTCTTACTTCATACAATACATCTTTAGATAATTAATAGATTAATTTACATACAAACAAATAAACCTCTTTGTTATGTTACTTTCGAATTTGACAACAGACAAATAAAATTAAATTTAAAGCTTATAGCATTTTGTCTAAGTATTCAGATCTTGAGATATCAAAAGAACAAATTAATAGATTATATCTCAATCTTCATATATTGACAAGATACTTGTCACATTTATCATGCAAGATTTCAAGAAGGGTGATATGATCTTCAAACATGAAATCCTACTATATAAGGATCATTCCCCCAAAGACTCCTGAATAAATGGAACACGTGAGTAGGATACCCAATGTGCCGACAATGGTAGTGTCATGTATGCTATATTGTTCACTTGACTTGACATTTGTTGCATTGTTGGTACGGTGATTCAATATCAATATCAATCTAACCCTGGACCGAACACATTTTGTTGCTGCCTTTGGAGAGCAATGAACTATATTCTAATTTAGTCCTCACCAGATGTTCTAGTAAGATCTACTGATTCGGACTTGCAGACTGATAAAGACTTTCGCAAGCCTACATTAAGATTTACATTTGGTGGTGATGTCATAAAATGGAGAAATATCAAGCAAGCTTACATTGCTGATTTTACCAAGAGGCAGTATGGCTCAAGAAATTCTTAATAGACATTGAATGGTGAATGTATATGCACATCCCTTGACAATGTAGTGTGATTATGGTGGGATAGTGGCAAATGCTGAAGAATCAAGATTCCATCAGAGGGCTAAGCACAAAACGAAAATATCATCTCATGGGAGAAATTAATGGTTGTGGAGATATGCTTGTCAACAAGATTGCTACTGAGGATAATCTCATTGATACGTTTAATAAAAGCTTGTCGACTAAGAGTTTCGAGGGACGTTTACAAGGCACGGACTTGCAAGACATGATACAAATGCTCTTAGGGAAAGTGGAAGATATGTTGGGTTATACGCCCATATATCATAGTTTTACTATAGTAAAATAACATTTGTATAATAAATATATATATTTTTTAATTTATTCACTATTATTGTATTTATTTGATATTGAACATATAAATAAAAGTGCCAAGATAGCTTATGAAAATATAAGTTAGGTGATTCAGTTGATAAGTAAAATGTGATACAAATTATATTTTGATTACAAATAAAATTGTTTACAACCAATGTATGAGGATTGGATATTGTAATGGGACGTTGTAGTGTTGACTATTTCACCATTCAAGTTTGTAATTTGTCTTTATCATAGAAATAGTTTAATGATGACATTAGTACAATTGGAGTGTATTGAAACGGCCACGTGTTGAGTTTATTATGTAGCATTATCGTGCCAAATTTAAATTTCATGTGATCACTGTATATTTCAGCTAAAGAATAAATCTAAATATACAACATTGGTTGACAATAGTGATCATGTGTTGTCAAAATCATATCACGTGACGTAAAAAACAGTTTTTTTTAATGGATGGATATGATGATGCTAAATAAGATGTTGTCATCCAATGTTGTCAACCAATGTTATGCATGTAGCGTGATTCTCATCTAAATTCTTTGATAGGATTGTGTATATTTTTTCTTGATCTTCTATAGGGATGGCAACGGGGCGGGGTGGGGATGCCCCCCCGTCCCCCGCCCCGTTAAAAAAATCAATCCCCATCCCCGCCCCGTTCCCCGTTTAAGGC